ATAAAGATCCATATGGTAGGCCTTAGTGAGCTGAAATTAATTGGCCATTTTGAAACTGACAATCATATGGTTCACCATGTCAAGAATGACAGATTGAAGAGGAATGGCAACACATTCATTGTCAAAAAGAACATTTCAAGATCTATCTTTAAGTACACTGTTTACTATGATAGGATAATATCCATATGCCTACAAGAAAGCAAATAACACAACTATCATACAAATTTATGCACCAGCCGCTAAAGATAGTGATGAAAAATTGAAGAATTCTACCAACTTAGTCTTCTGAAATTGATCAAACAAGCAATCAAGAAGATTTGATAATTGCTGGTAGTTGAAATGTGAAAGTTGACAATATAGCCTTAATTACATATAGTCAGTGTGGATTCTTGGTGTGGCGCTGTAGGATCAGCACTGGACTTTGAATCACAAAGTCAGCAGTTCAAACCCACCAGCTGCTCCTCAGAAACCCTCTTCAGGGTTTCCATGAGTTGGAACTGACTTGACAGCACTTAACAACAAAAACAACATAGGCACCATGCTGAAGATCCCATGATAGAACTTTATAAGATCAACAAATGCTTCATTGCAGATAACCTTTTATCACATGGACTTCTCCAGATAAAATACACACGAGTCAAATTGACTAAATTTATGAGCAGAAATGATGTAAAAGCTCCTTGTCATCATCCAAAACAAGGTTAGGCACCAACTGTGGAACAGACCATAAATTGTTCATATGCAAGTTCAGGCTGAAGCTGAAGAAAAATAAGAGGAGTCCAGAAGAGTCAAAATATGATCCTAAGTATATGCCACCTTAATGTAAACACCATGTCAAAAACAAATTTGATGCATTAGGCACTAATCATCAAAAACCAGGGGAGTTTGGGGAGGAAATCAAGAACATCCATACATGAAAAAACAAGTCATTTAAAAGATCAAAATGGATGTCAGAAGATACTCTGAAACTTGCTCTTCAACTTAGAGAGCCTAAAGCTGCTAGATGAAATGATAAAGTAAAAGAGCTGAACAGAAAATTTCAAATGGCAGCTTTAGAAGACAAAGCGCAAAAACCTGGAGTCAGAAAACCAAAAGGAAAGAACATGCTCAGCACTTTTTAAGCTGAAAGAACTGGAAAAAATAAATTCAATTCTTGACTTGCAATACTGAAAGATTCTATGGGCAAAATAGAGTTCTGGTGTAGTGTTGAAGGATAAGCACTGGACTGAAAGGTGGGTTTGAAACCGTATACAGGGTCACTATGAGTCGGAACTGACTCAACAAGACTAAACAAAAATGGGCAAAATGTTGAATAACACAGAAAGCTTTTAAAGAATATGGAAGAAATACAGAGTCATGTCCAGGCATTCAAAATGTAGTAGTAGATGATCAAGAATCTCATGGTATTGAAGGAAGAAGCTCAGCTTGCACTGAAGGCATTGGCGAAAAGCAAGGCTTCAGGATTTGACAAATGGAAATGTTTCAACAAACTGAAGCAGCATTGGAGATGCTCACTTGTCTATGCCAAGAAATTTGGAAAACAGATACCTGGCCAACCCATTAGAAGAGATCCAAATTTGTACACATGCCAAAGAAAAGGAATTCAACAGAATGCACACATCATCAAGCAATATCATGAATATCACATGTAAGTAAAACGTTGCTAAAGATAGTTCAAAAATGGTTGCAGAAATTGCACCAAGGAGTTGCCAGAAATTCAAACTGGATTCTGAAGTGGTATGTAACTAGGAATATCATTGTTCACATAAGATGGATGGATATTGCTGAAAGCAGAGAAGGTCAGAAATATGTTTACATATGTTTTATTGACTCTACAAAGGGACTTGACTGTGTGGATCATAACAAACTATGGATAATATTGAAAAGAGTAGAAATTCCAGAACACTTGATGGTGTTCATGACGAACCTGTACATAGACTCATAAGGTCACTGTTAGTCATAACTGACTCAATGGCACCTAACATCAAGCACTCTGAAAATTTCTCTCTCTTTTTTCTAATGTTGAGGATGATCTGCTGTCATGATTTCATGATCCACCACTAGGTTATAAGGGCAATTTAAAAAGTGCTGTAGGAATAACCCCAAATATTTCCTTATCATCAAAGCTTGTTTCAATCTAATACAAATCTGAGTTTAGATTAATTGCTAATTTAATTGAGTGTTGCCAACTGTACATATTGATCTGCCTCACAGCTTCTGAGAACTTATATGTGACTTGCTACTGCTGTTAAATTTAGTTGGTTCTGACTCATAGCAACCCTGTATAGGGTTTCTGAGGAGTTACTGGTAGGTTTAGCAGTCCAGTACTTATTCTACAGTGCCACACCAGGACTCTTCTCTGTGAGTAGGTTAATAATATTCTATGTCCAGGGATACTTCTCAGGTACTTATGAGATTCAAATGGGAGTATATTATAAACTGTCAAAATTTACGAGCGCTTGCTGTTGTTAAGTGACTTAGAGTCGGGTCCATCTCATAGCAGTGACTTATTATTATATGAGGGTGAGTCAAAAATAATCTGCTCTCTGGCTGTACAATTTATTTTAATCAAGTTTTAGAAGAGATAAATGCATCATTTTTTCAACATAATATCCTTGCTTTTCAATACACTTTGTCCATCTGTCAACAAGCTTTCATATCCCTTATTAAAAAATGTTCTAGGCTGAGCTGTGAGCCATGAATGCACTGCTGTCTTCACTTCTTCATCAGAGGTGAATCTTTGCCATTGAAGGGCAGTTTTCAGGAGACCAAACTGGTGAAAGTTTCAAGGAGCAACATCAGGACTATTGGGAGGATGATTTAACACTTCAAAATGAAGTTGTTGTAGTGTCAAGAGTGTGGGTAGAGAGAGGTGTGCAGATGTGTGTTCTTATATAAGATCACAATGTCCTTGACTAGCAGTCCTCTGGGTTTAATCTGGAGTTTAGGTTTCAGCTCTTCAGTGAGCATCTCACTACATGAGCACTATTGATTATTGAATCTTTTTCCTAATAAATAATGTTCCTATACTGGCCCTTGAGAATTAAAACAAAAATAAACAAAAAACTGTAAGCATCGATTTTCTAGCTGATGGTTGAGTTTTGAACTCTTTCTTGGTTGGAGGCTGAAGATGTTTCCATTTCATACTCTGCCATTTACTCTCAGGCTTGTAGTGATGAATCTATGTCACATCACAAGTAACAATTTTTTAAAAAGAAAATTTTACCTTCCTTCAGCTATCAGTCCAAATTTTATTTGAAAATATCCAAACTCCTGTTTATGTTCTTCTGTGAGTTGTTTCAGTATCCATCTCGCACAGACTTTTTGAAACCCAAGTTTGTTGTGGATTTTTTTGTAAGCAGAGCCATGGCTGATTTGCCACATAATCCATTGCCATTCATCTATTGGACAGAATAATTTCACGTGCATGCTCATCAGCTGTGGACAGGTGCTTTTATGTAACTGGAGGTTGGATCATTTTTGACTCGCCCTCATAGTCTGGTAGTATCTACTTCTAGAGTTGTTTGTTGGGGAGCAGTGTCCCTTTATTGGGAGCCCTGGTATGGTACTGAAGGATAAGCACCAGACTGCTGTCAAAAATTCAAGCTAGATTCAAAGGAGTATATAGACCTAGAGGTATCATTGCTGATATCATATGGATCTTTCCTGAAAGCAGAGACCAGAAAAATGTTCTTGTTGCTGTTAAGTGCCACTGTATCGGTTCTGACTCATAGAAACCTTGCATAGGGTTTCTGAGGCTTTAAATCTTTGCAGAAACAGAAAGCCTTTTTTTTTTTTTTTTAATCCCACAGAACAACTTGTGGGCTCGAACCACCAAACTTGTGGCTCGAAGTCCAGTGTTTATCTTATGGTGCCACTGTGCTCCCAAAAAGATGTTTACTACGCAAAGACTTTCTACTATGTGGATCATGACAAACTATGGATAACATTGTGAAGAATGGGTATTCCAGAATACTTCACTGTTTCATGAGGAACCTGTATATAGACAAAGAACAGAACAAAGGGAGGCTATCTGCTCCAGTAAAGATTCACAATCTCAGAAACCCTATATATGATCACTATGAGTCTCATGGCAGAGTCAACTAGATGGCAGTAGGGTTTTGCCCTTACTGAGTGGGAAACAGTTCCCAGTCTTTGGCAATATTAAGACATTACTAACCACTTGTTTTATAAAAACTGTGTGTCAGAATTAACAAATGAAGATTCTTCAAACTGCTTGCTCATATGATGTAACCGCATAAGTTCATGTTTAAAATGGAAAAGGAGGCTTTCTTCATATTAATAGCCCTTAAGAAATTTCCAGAAAAACCAAACCCACTGTCATGGAACTTATGTTGTTATTGTTGTTGTTATTAAGTGCCTTCAAGTCAGTTCCAATTCATAGCAACCCTGTATAAGGTTTCCAAGGAGCAGCAGGTGGGTTTGAACCACCAACCTCATGGTCAACAGTCCAGGAGTCCTGTATAGGGTTTATAAGACTGCATACATTGATAGGAGCAGACAGCAGCATCCGTTTTCCACAGAGCAGCAGGTGGGTTTGAACTGCCAACGTTTCAGTTAACAACAGGAAGTCAGCCCACAGCTCCACTAAAGCTCCTTTTGAGAAATTTAGGACAAACGTATTTTATAATTTGCATTTGAATTTAGGTAAAAGCTTGGGTAGAGGAAGAAATGTTTGAAAAACAATTCGAGATCTCCAACTTGCAAAACTGTGGAGGGGATGAAGCTGAGCCCTGACTCTCCTTCCCTATGACTCTTCCTCCACTAACAGCACTTTGCTTCCTGGGTATACTTGGGTCATCTGACTGATTCACTGTTGTCGTAAAAACAGGACCTGTGCTGTGTTGAAAGCCACTGAAACTGGGAGAAACTTGTCATGAAAATCCTGACTATCAGGTGACAGATTGCTAGCACTCTTTCCAGACTAGTACAAGTCATCTGGGGCTGGCCACAACTACAGGTCTGTTCCAACCTCCTCCATGTCTGAGAGTGCGGAGCTGTACTTTAACATAGACCATGGCTACTTGGAGGGCCTGGTTCGAGGATGCAAAGCCAGCCTCCTGACCCAGCAGGATTACATCCACCTGGTCCAGTGTGAGACCTTAGAAGGTACGTGGAACTTTTCTTACCATTTAAAAAAGAAAAGGAAAATGTCTCATCTGTAAACAGGTTTCTATGGCTTGAATAGGTCCTATTTCCAGCGTACAGATTTCATGGGTCCACAAACTTGAATGAGGAGAAAGAAAAAAAAGATTGCATCTATATTTCAATATTCTCTTAAGTGAATTTTAGCATTTCTTTTCATTATGAATCCAATATTTGCAGTATCTATAACTTTGTGACCAATGAATATTATCAACATAGTGTGGCACTGTTGGATCAGCACTGGATTTTGAACCACAAGATCAGCAGTTCAAACCCACTACCAACTCCTCGGAAACCCTATGCAGGGTCATTATGACTAGGAACTGACTCAAAGGCACTTAACAACATGTGACTCTCACAGATACCTTGAAATACTTATATATCCTTTTGTGCTTTTACTGCTTCAAAATTACAGATGTTATACTCATCTTTTGTGCTCAATATTTATTGTCTTAATAATGAAGCACAGCACTTATTCCAAATTAAACTTTGAAAATATTTTGATAACAGTATTTTAATATATTTGGCTTTCTTTTAATCTTATACATTTTATTATGTGCATTTATAATACTGTTTGGAGGAAGCCATCCATAGACTCCATTAGATTCCAAAAAAAATGCTAACAAGTTCTGGTCTAGAGATTTTTATTCTATATCTAGTTTTTCAGTATCAATTTGGAGAATTAATCCAAAAATAACTGAGGTTTACAGCCACCCAGAGTTCCCTGAGAAGCAAGGCCTGGGGTCTACCTCTAAAACTGTCTTGGAACCCACTATGGAGCATAGTTCTACTCTCACCCATAGGGGGGCATCGTAAATTAGAACTGACTCAGTAACAACAGGTTAGTTAGGCTATTGATTTGGGACTTTTAAATTTGTCTCACTGATGCTTCAGAAAAAATTTAAGAGATGTCTGTTTTGGGGCCAGCCCAGTTTGTGAAGTCCCAACTTTGACCTCTGCCGGGTCTAGGTACATGGCCCAGAGTTTAAAGATTCCTCATTTATAAAATGTGATAGAAATGCCTCCTTTGCTGAGCTGTTGGGAGAAATGAATGAGACAGTGTGTATGAGAAAATGCTTTCAACCACAATATTTTCAAAAGTTCACCAATAATTAATTCATATCTGTAATAGTATTGTATCTGTAATTTAAAACAGCTACTTTGAAACCTTTTTAAGAACTCGTATGTCAGTTTGGTGCACTTACATTGCTAGATTATTCTAGTTAAAGCATAAAAGCTGAAAATATCAAGTTTCCTAGGAAGGGTATTTGGAAGGCAAACATGGGGGTGGGGTGGGGTGGGGTAGGGCGGCCTCTGAAGGTGACTTTGCAGGCTGTTCCAGTGGAGCCGAATTCTTCAGAGATCACTTGTTTATGGTTCTCACCTGTTAAAGCCGGTTTCTGTGGAGCTGCCCAAAATTTGATGCTTTCAAATGATAGCAACTAATTATGCTAACAACCACTACATAATCCTAAATCACCTCAGCATTTTAAATTAGGAGTTTGGTGGCTTGAAAATATTGGTAAGTATAGGAAACCTGAATAACTTGAGGTTGTTGTTAAGTACCATTGTGGAGTCGGTTCCAACTCATAAGTGACCCTGTACAGGGTTTCCAAGGCTGTAAATCTTTACGGGAGCAGAAAGCCTCATCTTTCGCCCGAGGAACACCTGGTAGTTTCGAACTTCTGACCTTGTGGTTCGCAGCCCAATTGGTAACCACTACACTACCAGAGCTCCTTGACCTTGAGGTTAGCAGCCCGATTTGTAACCATTAGGCTACCAGAAAACAATAAAATGCTAAAGAGCATGGGAGAGATTAAGTTGTTTTGTAGAAACCACATGAGTGAATTAAATGGCCAAAGGAATGCAAATTTAAACCCAAACAAAACAAAATATCTTTGTGATACCAAAGGATGACTACAAAAGAGTAAAGAGCAAAGGCAGCTATTCCAAAGCCATACAAAGAAATCTAGATAATACAATGGTGAAAAATAAAAATCAGGAATGTAAAAGTTGCTCCCAAGTATTTTCAATCAAGAGACTTTCTGACTAAATGATTCAACAGTGGAAGGAGGAGAGAGAAGAGGAAGGAATAGTCGTCTAGATCTATCTATTTTGGCGCTCAGATGAATATGGTACTTTCAATACAAGCTAGGGAGAGAAGGCAAGGTTTTAGACCATAAGAATGAAACTTCCCAGGAAAATCCATACAAATGGATACCTACAGAATTTTCTGTGCGATGTGATGTTAGGACGTTCATGGGCCACTATCTCATGGTTCCTATTTTTCCCCCATGCACACATCCCCAATTTTTCAATAATGCATTTCACAATTATATTTGAATATGTGGGCTTGTGTGAAAAATAAATCTTGTGGGTGTGGTCCATCTTCAGTGAAAGAATAAGGGAAATCTTGGGGGGTCACAGGCTAGGATCACAAAAGGAGATGAAGAACCAGTTTGGCCTTTGGTGGTTAGAAACTTTAAAATAAGAATACAACGATCAAGGAAATAGGGGAAGTTCATGGGGAAATGGGGAATGCCCCCAGTAAGGACTAGTAGTTGACCTTGGAAGGACAATGTGACCTTGTAATCCCCAGTGGAAGGAGAACTGGAGGAAGGGCTTTGTAGGGGCAGGGGAATAAAACTGTTACAGGCCAGCCATGCAGCGCAACTGTCCATTCTACTGGGTTGGGTTCCCGTTTGCAAAGTCAATTAACAAAAACCTCACTCTCATTAAAATTAGTACAAATTGGATTACTTGAGCATTTGTCAGTCTGGAAACCACCACTTCTCATACTTTTCTACTGTTTGGAGACTACCAGGAATAGCAAGTATGAGTCATCAAATCACTCGATAGCATTTAACAACAACATGAGAATCACATGCTTTGAGTAGCTTTTAAACGAGAGAAAATAAAAATTGTACAAGAAAGCCTTGAAAAATAATCATCATGATTGTGTGTGTAGCTGCTTGGGTGGTCAGAAGCACACATCTAGTCTAAGGTCTGCCCCTGACTAACAGAATAAGTCTCAACTGGTCACTAAAGCTCAGTTACTCAGTGTTTCCTAGGTCCAAAAAACAGAAGCTAGTTCATGTTGCCTAGGTCCAAAAAACAGAAGCTAGTTCAAAAAATTGCATTCTTTAAAAGTGACTTTGAGCCTAAATTATAACTTTAAGGGAAATAAAATATATATTTAAAGGGTTAACTTGCTAATTCCATTGTATTCTTGTTTTTAATTATAATTATGTCTGTTTATATTATTAAGTATGTTTCTTTAAAAAAAAAAAAAAAAGACGAGGTTGTAAAACGAAAATTTAGAGCACTAGACTTTAATAAAAAATGGTCTTTTCTAAAATATATGGTAAAAGTACCCATGTGGTGAGAAATATGGTGAGAAAACACCAGAGCTAGTCTTTTAATTTATACTGTTTTCCATAGATTTTCGGAAGGGACTGAGGGGGCTCATTTATATCTCACTAATAATCATGTCCCTTTCAGGGGACATAATCTTCAATTCCTTTTCACAGTGTGACTTAATTCAGCAACTTTATGTTAAATCCTTTCTTCTAGCTAGGGTCAGATGAGCCCTAGTGTGGCAATATAGGGTAAGCACTCAGCCACAAGGTCTGTTTGAACCACATAGTTAGTGGTCCAAACTCACCAGCTGCTCCGTGAAAACACTATACAGGGTCACTATTAGTTGGAACCGACTCAATAGCACTTAAAAACTACAGTTAGGGTCAGAAGGTCTCTAGGTGGTGTAGTTTGTCTTTGACTATTAGCCAACAGGTTGGTGGTTGAAGTTCACTCAGTGGTTCTGTGGAAGAATAGCCTGGAAATCTGCTTCTGTTAATATTACGTCTAAGAAAACCCTATGGAGGTGTTATGCTCTGTAACACACACCAAGAGTCAAGATCAATTCAGTGGGAACTAGTTTGTTTATTTTGTTTGGTAGATACCTAGGGTCAAGGAAGTAAAAATGGATTAGATCTATTTCTTGCCCTAAAGAGACCTCTATTCTAAATAATGAAAATATTAAAATAGAAGAAAACCGTAAAGAACACAGTTGTGCAGTACCTGTCAAAGTTCCAAATGCATACATACTTGGCCCAGAAATTCCAAGGACCATAGATGCATGCACCTGGCATGACAGGTGTACACAACCCTTCATGTAACATTGTTTGTGGTATTAAAGATGAAAATAAGTCAAATATCCAGCTATAGGGAACTGGTTAAATAATAGAGAATTCTGCAGCTAATTTAAAAAAAAAAAAAGAATGAGGAAATACTCGATTATATGGAAATATCACCAAGATATAACAAGGTTTGAAAAAGTTTATAGGAAAATTCCATTTTTCCATGAGCTTTAAAGTTTTCTCATATATATCAAAAGTCTTGGTGTGGTGCTGTGGATAAATGCACTGGACTGCAAAGTCAGTTAGAACCACAAGATCAACAGTTCAAACTCACCATCCCCTCCTCAGAAACCCTATGCAGGGTCACTAGTCACTATGAGTCAGCACCAACTCAATGGCACTTAACAACAACAGCTTATATATCAGGAGTTCTGGTATAGTACTGCAGGAGAATTCTCTGGACCACAAGGCTGACAGTTCAAGTCCACAAGCCGCTCCTCAGTAACCCTACACAGAGGCACTAAATCAGACCTGACTCAACAACAATAACAACATATATTAAGTAATAAAATCAAGGGAGGGGTAAGTTTAAAACAAAAAAACATTCTGTGTGCTTGTCCAGATACAAAGAAACAGGATCCCAAAGAAACTAATTATAGTATGACCCAGAGCTAGGAATGATGTCTGAGTGTGTTAAGTGGGCTGTTGTTGTTTTTGTTTCCAGCAAGTTGATTCTGACTCACAGTGACCCCCATGTGTGCAGAATAGAACTGCTACCTCAGATTTTCATGGTCTCAGTCTGATCTTTTGGAAGCCGATTATCGT